CAATAATAAATTCAAAGTCATTAAATTATTTTTTTTTTAATCTAGACTGTAAGAAGATGATAAATCCACAAGTTGAGATATATTGTTTGTTTAATTATAAATAACTCAGATGTGTTAGTTCTTGTCATATTGTTTGTGCTGAACCTGAAGATCTAATCATTCATCACTGAATCATTAGTTCTACTTCATTTTTTCATCCCACTTATGTCTAAAGGAGGCTCAGCTCTTAGTTTCTATACATGTACATTTCTCTAGACCACAAAAGCTGAGATGCCAATCAATGAGCTCCACAAGCATCCTTGTTCTCAGCAGAGTTACTCACCTCACAGCATAACTATTTCAGTGGAAATATGTGGAGTCTTCTTAATAGAATTTTACATCATGGAGTGCTTTTATTTTCTTTTCTATTATTAAAAGTCTCTGACAGCATTTCTTTTAACCACCTTGAACCTCCCCTACACAAGCCATGCTCTCTGGCATAGACACAGGTTCTCTGCTAAATGTAAATCAAATGACTGTGGTGTTTGGGCAGGAAATTATTTTTCCTGTCCAACAACTGGTTCTGACATTAAAAGTGAAGACAAAAAATATAAAGTCTGTAAAATTCACACAGTTAAATCTAAAATCCATTTCCTTTTGGTATTGATTTTATTAGAGTTAGATCGATTTTCCCTGATTTTGAGATCAAATGCATGAAAATTCTTTATGTAGAAAGTTTTAGATTTCGGTTCCAACCCAGTGTTCATCAAAACCCTCTCTCTTTTGTGACAAAAACAAACAAACAACAAAAAAAAAACCACCACAAAACAAACAAACAAACAAAAACATTTGAAAAAAGGAGGGGAGTTGACAAATTTCCAGTAGAAAATAAAAAGGAACATGATGCCCGTCCTCTCTCAGCCAGCTCTTGTGTTTAAACGCTCATTTTCAGTTTTGCCCAGTTAAAGATATATGTGAGTTGCTCCCAGTCTGTCAAATGGAATGGGGCTCTCTGGAGGCTTTCAAATTCCTCTTGTGTATATGAGGAAATAATCAGTACCATATGCTGGTGTCACCGAGTTCAGAGTTGTTGAAGCACATCCTCATCTCCTGCTGCCCAGACGCTGATCCAGATCTTACTTTACCACCATAGTCAGACACAAAATCAGTTGTGGAAGAAAAAGAAGAATCTGTTTCTAACAATAAAACAGCTTTTTTTTTCATCAAGCTTTAAAATTTGGACTGATAGACTTCCTGTAAGCCTACCAAATCTGCAGAAATGATCATGTGGCAGGTGTCAGGGCAGTTTTCAATGGCAGGTGGAAGCATCTTTAGCAACTGCTTCAGACATTACTGTGTCATGCAGCCCTCTCCTGCATAATTCAAAAGTGGTTTGGTCTAGATCATATCTCTCTGAGTCTTTCCCATCACATCAGTCAGAAGTACATTGGACTTCAGCCAGTAACCCAGCAACTCTACATGTTCATCTATACCCACATGAACTGCCCTCTTGTGGGAAACAGCAGGGGTCTTTTCCCACTTACACACCCTTCCCTTTGGATCAGATATAGCACTGTCACAAAACTGCACAGCCTGAGAAAAATCACAAGCCAGCCTGTGGACTGATGATTCAAGTCCTCAAAATCTACCACTTCCAGTGGGGTTTGGTGGAGTGCACCTGAGACCAGTGTTGGTCTCTGGGTACCAAGGAGGCTGTGGCTGGCCTGCTCAACTTTGGTTTCCTTTGCTTCCTGGACCTCCATCAGGTTGCACTGGTATAGCTGGACATAGAAGATAGCTCCATATTCCTTAGGGAAAGATACTCTTTTTTTTCCTGAGGGCCTTCACACCTTCTTGAAAGTGACCTTTTGTATCTACTTCACCAATATAAAGAGACTCTCCTGAAAGGCCATCTAACCTGGGAGGAAAGGGAGAAAGGCTTCCTGCAGCCTCCTGTTTCTAGCAGGCAGATTTTACAAGCTCTTTTCTGATCTCCATGAAAACAGCCAAAACCTCTTTAACTTAACTGATGTGGATTTCCTGCAGCACAGGATACCTCACAAGAGAATCTGAACTGGAAAAATTACCTAGACAGTGTTGTGCATGCCAGGAAATGCCAGTCATTTCAGTGAGAGAGCACTCCCATTCATCTCATCCCTGCCTCTGCATCAGCTAACACTGGCAGGCTTGTCTGACCCATGGACTGTTGCAAAATGCCTTTGAGGATAAGGAACTTAGGGGAAGCTGAGGAAGAAGTGATTACACAGTAACTGTACTGATGAAGTTACAGAAAGTTAACTTCCCCATGACCTTGTGGTTTCACTACTGGAATAATATGAAAAAAGAGAGCCAAAGCTGGCTGCTTCCTGTGACATGACATCAACAGGGAAGTCAAAGGGAGGATTTGTTTAATGTGCTTTCATTTACTTCTTTGAATAGTGATGACATTACATTAACACCACCAAAAAGTGAGTCACATGAGTAATTGGCACTTGAAGCTCTCAGGATCTATATAAGCATGTAAGCTGTGGTCTTGGGAGACAGAAGGTAAAACCCTTTCTGCTGGAGGGAGCAAAGCTCCTTGGCAAGCTGGGCACTATGCAATACCTCCTATTCTGTGCTGCCGTTCTCCTACCTCAGAATCTTGCTTTTCCAACATCAGCTAAACTAGAACCAGACATGGAGAATGCAAAGGTAGGTTACCAGAGGGACAAACTAACTGCATCATGAATAGCCTGATTATTTTTTTTTGGCTCCCACATTCCTTTCCTGTATGTTTATATAATCTTCATTTCTTGCATTTCTACAATGTTTATTGTAGAGGTGACATAAAACAATTCAAACTTGTTGACTAGCTTAGATACCCAAAATCTTACTTTTAAAATAGACCAAATACCAACTGGTAAACAGAGGGGAGCATGCCATTTTTTAAAAGTCTTGGAAAATCCTACGCATACTACATTGGAAGGCTGCAGATTTGAATGCTCAGTATACTGTGTGTACTTAGAAGGATTGCTTGCTTCTAGTGTTTTGCTGCTATTGCAATTACTTTTATATATGCTAATCTGTACTAGAGAGTGAACAGCATTTGGTAAACTGAAATTGAAAGAAAAAAATACATGTACCACTACAGGACAATGCAACAATCCAATGAAATGAAAAATGCAATTACCAAAAGATCATAGATGTATGTATAATTTTTTTTATTTGACTTCTCTTCTTCCAGGTGTATCTTGACAAATTCTTTCCGCATTTTTCAAAAACAAACATTTTAAGTTTAGAAGAGAGGATTGAAGAAATGCAGAGGTATTTCCACCTGACTGTAACTGGAAGATTAGATGTAGAAACAAAAGATTTTATGAAACAGCCCAGATGTGGACTCCCCGATATAGGACATGACAGAACATTTTCTGGAAATAGAAGATGGGAAAAGACACATTTGACTTACAGGTTAGTGATGTTTCTGCTTTAGGGGGAAAGGGGTTGCTTTTTATTGTAACTGTGTGTGTTTCCTTCGCACGCTAAATGACATTAATCTGTTTGGTTTTGCCACCAGGATTGTCAATTACACACCTGACCTACCCAGACATAAAGTGGATGATGTAATTAGAAGGGCTTTTATGGTATGGAGTGATGTGACTCCTCTGCGGTTCCAAAAAATATCCAACAGATATGCAGACATTGAGATTCAATTTGCACGCCGTGGTGAGAATACCTGTCATTTTTAAAATGTAATGGTCCGTATTTGACACAAAGCATGTGTTTTTTATAGACATGGCTTTAAAAAAGAACAGAGAGTTTGGAATTATTCTGAAGTCTGCATAAATTTTATATTTTCTTTACTGTGCCAGCAGATCTATCCATCATCATTCAGTTTTACTCCTATGACACCATTAGAAAGTCTTCTCAGCATGACAGCTGTGAAATGGAGGAAGAATTCAGCTCCAAAATGAGACACATAAATTTAGATGTTCAGGACTCTATCTGCCTCGACAAATAGTGCAAACCAATGGGAATAGATCTGTAGAGGAAAACAGCTGGTGCTGAAGATCCAGCCTCCACAGGCTGGATTCATGCAGGTTCAGGCAGGCTTACTTTGATACAGATCTAGTCTGGTTACCTGGAAAGAACAGTCTTTGGCAGCTGGGGTGCATTAGGTTTGGCCACAGAGGGTATCTTCTGGTTGATTTTCTGCTAGAAGGAATCCCACTGGTGCACTGTAAGATTGCACCAAGGGAAGTCTTCAGAGCTGGTACAAATGCACCATCTTGTCAGCTCTTGTGCTTGAGGTAAGAAACATAATTTTTTTAAGTGCACTGGGATAGAAGTAGGTAATAAACAATACCACCAGGCTGGGGACAAAATAACTCAGCTCTTCAGAAAAAGGGCAATCTTCCCCAGTTCACTGCCCTTCACTAAAATCTGTACAAGTGAGAATGACCACAACTAATGTGGCCTGGCACTTAACAACACCGAAAACATTCAGGTGCTTATAATGCTGTCAAGCATCTGAAATAATCCCCGATTGCTGCCTCAGAAACACATTCCTGACAAAGGCTCAGAAAAAAAGGTTCAGCTCTTTCTGAAACAGGCAGCAGCCTGAATTATCCAATATAAGTTTTTGAACTTGTCACGAATTTGGAGAGTGCCCCCAAAGCTTTGGTCCTCATTTTTCAACCTTGCTGCTATCATAGGATTTTTTTAAGGATTACTAATGAACAAAACTAGCACAAACAAGCAACACACTTCACTTTGCTGAATTTAAACCTTACAGCTGAAGCCATCTGGTGACTTTTATTTCTTTTCAAATGCAGATCATGGTGATGGAAATCCTTTTGACGGAAGAGGTCAAGTACTAGCACATGCATATCTACCTGGACCAGGGATTGGTGGAGATGCTCATTTTGATGAAGATGAATTGTGGTCAGAGTACAATCGAGGTAAAACCACATGCATCTATGAAGGGGAAAGGCAAAAGTTGTACATATTAAAAGAACATAGCCATAGGAAGTGTTTTCCATAACTCTTCATGCTTCGGTACCATTTCAGTACCAACATTTCTGCTCTTTTCAACTGTCTTTCTAAGTACTTGTGCTTCATTATCATTAGTGGCTACATAATACCTGATGTGTCCACATTTTAAAGCACTTCCCACAGGCTAGGCAAGCACTATGAGCATCTGTTTTCTACATGAATTATGAAAAGGTGAAATGACTGGCTTGTAGGAATAAGGTTGACTAAAACCTGAGTTGCAAAGACACTCAGGATCTAGACGCATATGCAAGGGATCAGGAACATTTTTATTTAAACATTACAGTTACATAAGAAAGTTCAGTAAAAACTGATGAATGGCAGGGAGGCCATCCAGAGGGACTCTGGCAGGCTTGAGAGCTGGGCCCATGAAGTTCAGCAAGGCAAGGTTCTGCACCTGATCCTGGGAAATCCCAAGCACAAGCAAGGCAAGGTTCTGCACCTGATCCTGGGAAATCCCAAGCACAAATAAAGTTTTGGTGGAGAATGGATCAAAAACAGTCCAGAGGAGAAGGACTTGGGGGTGATGGTTGATGAGAAGCTCAATATGAACTGGCAATGTGTGCACAGCCCAGAAAGTCAAACATAGGCTGGGCTGCATCAGAAGAAGCAAGGACAGCAGAACTCTACTCCTTTATATGGCTCTTGTGAGACCCCATCCAGAGTATTGTGTCCAATTCTGGAGCCCACAACATAAGAAGGGCATGGAGTTCTTGAAGAAAGTCCAGAGGAAGGCCACAAACATGATCAGAGGGCTGGAGCACCTCTCCTACAAAGGCAGGCTGAGTGAGTTGGGGCTGTTCAGCCTGGAGAAGAGAAGGCTCCAGGGAGACCTCACAGCAGCCTTCCAGTACCTGAAGAAGGCCTAAAGGCAATCTGGGGAGGGACAGTTATCAAGGGCTTGTAGTGAGAGGACAAGGGGTAATGGATTAAAACTGGAGAAAGAAATATTTAGGTTAGATATTCAGAAGAAATTCTTTAGTGTGAGGGTGATGTGACACTGCAGAGGTTGCCCAGAGAAGCTGTAGATGCCCTATCCCTGGAAGTGTTCAAGGGCAGGTTGGATGGGACTTGGAGCAACCTGGCCCAGTAGGAGCTGTCCCTGCCCATGCAGTGGGGCTTGAACTAGATGATGTTTAAAGTCTCTTCCAACCCAAACCATTCTATGATTCTATAATCAAAATGCTGAGGTTTCATTCCAGGGGACTGAAAGATATAAATTCTCCTGCTACTTCAGTTCTTTGTATGCTAAAAAGAAATGTTTTAAATATAGTTTTCTATGCTTCTGTGTTGCAGAAGTTAATTTGTTCCTTGTTGCTGCTCATGAATTTGGCCACTCTTTGGGACTTCTTCATTCAAATGTCCGTGGAGCTCTGATGTACCCGACCTACTCATATGTGAACCCAGCAACCTTCAGACTTTCACAGGATGATAAGCGAAGAATTCAGCAGTTATACGGTAAACTCATGATGAGATTTGATTTTCAAGATAAAACTTACTAGGGTGCAGGTTTCACTGCTTTCCCTGATTGCAAGGGCCTCATCATATTGCCAACAAGAATGAAGGGGAGCAAAGTTGGAAAAAACATATTCCTGTGTACTCAGTCCACTAAGTTGCTTCTGTAGCATGTCCCCTCTGCAACCAAGATGTGACAGAGCAGCAGTGGAGCAGCCTGGCACACTGTCTTCCTGCACATCTACACATGGCCAAAGATATTCTGTGGACCTTGCTCTGCAAATGAGCTGCTCAGTGAGTGGGGCTGCTGGCAGGGAAGGGAGAGACACTGTGCCACTTACCAAGTCAATGGGACAGTTCAGTGAAGGCAAAAATTACTCAGTAGTAGGGGTGGAGCATAACCAGAATTGACCCCAAGGAGTAAACTTCGCCAGGGTTGCTCTTCTTCCTGTGCTTCCTCAGGGCACACAGGAGGAACACTGGCAAAAAACATAGTATCCTAAATTGTCCATTTCCAGTAAAGTGTTTGTGTTTCTTTCCCACAGGGAAAAAGTCACAAAACTCTTGAAGAAAGTGTTTCAAAAAGAACAAAGGACTCACATCCAACTTTTTGGTGTTCCAAAGCAACGTTAATCCTCTAGCTAATTAAAATGCTGAAGTCCTGGATTGCACTTTCTCTCTTTGAATTTTAACATTGATTTATGTGCACTTTATACAATTTCACTTAACAATTAAAAACAAACAAAAAAATAAAAATAAATAATTTTTTTAAAAAAATAAACCACAAAAACTTGTATACTCTGTTGTCTAATGTTCAGATATTTTTTCTGCTGGCATTTCACTGGGGGATTAAATCACTGCAGGTGGGATAAACAGGCAAATATCTTTCTGGATAGAAGCACAGATACCTAAATAACTCTGTGTGTTTACTGCTGGAGCTACAAACCCTGTTCCTGGCTTGCTTTCAGTTCCCATGCATGTCCTGGTCTTTCACAGTATCTACTGTGAAGAAGAAGCTGCAGCAGGACCTGGACAGGCTAGATCGATGGGCCAAGGCCAATGGCATGAAATTCAACCAGACCAAGTGCAAGGTCCTGCACTTTGGCCACAATAACCCCAGGCAGAGCTACAGACCAGGGGAAGAGTGGCTGGAGAGCAGCTCAGCAGAGAGAGACCTGGGAGTACTCGTTGACAGCCAGTTGAACATGAGCCAGCAGAGTGCCCAGGTGGCCCAGAAGGCCAATGGCATCCTGGCTTGTATCAGGACTAGTGTGGCCAGCAGGAGCAGGGATCTCATTCTCCCCCTGTACACAGCACTGATGAGGCTTCACCTTGAGTCCTGTGTACAGTTCTGGACCCCTCACTTCAAGAAGGATATTGAGGTGCTGGAGCAGGTCCAGAGGAGAGCAACAAGACTGGTGAAAAGACTAGAGGGAAAGTCTTACAGAGATAGGCTGAGGGAGCTGGGGATGTTTAGCCTGGAGGAGACTCAGAGGGGACCTTATCACTCTCTTCAACTACCTCAAGGGAGGTTGTAGTCAGGTGGGGACTGGACTCTTTTTCCAGGCAACCAGCAGTAAGACAAGAGGGTATGGCCTGAAGGTGCTCCAGGGGAGGTTTAGGTTGGATATTAGGAAGGACTTCCTCACGCAGAGGGTGATTAGACATTGGAATGGACTTCCCAGGAAAGTGGTGGAGGCACCATCCCTGGATGTGTTCAAGGAAAGGCTGGATGTGGCACTTAGTGCCATGGTCTGGCTGATCTGTTGGTGTTGGTCATAGGCTGGACTTGGTGATCTTAAAGGTCTTTTCCAGCCTTGGTAATTCTGTGGTTTTGTGATACTGTTGCCTCCTCAGGACCTCAGTGTACTTCCCATACATCTCACACACAGAGAAGGTCTCCATGATGCTTCCATCAGCACAAACTGTGATACTTTCCCAAAGGAAACAGCTTTTCAAGGTTGTTGAAACAGTTTAAACAATTTGTTAACAAGTTGTCCAGGGAGGTTGTGGATGTCCCTTCCCTGGAGGTGTTCAAGGCCAGATTCATGGGGTTTTGAGCAAGCTGTTTTATTGGAAGGTATCCTGTCCCATGCAGGAGGATTGGAACTAGATGATCTTTAAGGTCCCTTCCAACCCTAGACATTCTATGATTCTATGATTTGTGTCCTAACCAGCTTGTCAGAGAAGCAGGTTTAAGAAGTAGTGGACTAAGATTCCCATTATCAACTGTGATATTCAAACACCTCTCAGGTATTTTAAAATAAAAACAAAACAGGAATTCTCCTTCCCTCCTTTAGAAGACTAATCCCACATCACCAGAAAACCAAAAAAAAGGCACAGACAGGTATAGTTTCTTCAGCTTCCTCATTGCTGGAGCTGGTCAGTTGTCCTGGGGGCCTGAGCTGCTCTCTGCTTCGAGGTGGGAAGCCTGTCTTGCTGCCATAACTGAAGAACTGAAATAACATGGGAAGATGCATCCATGTCTCTCAGTTCCAGGAGAAAATGCTCATGTTTTCCTGACTCCCTAAGCAAAGCATCACTAGAAAAACTTCAAAGCCTCCACACCAGACTCAGTCCTTGGAGAGGCTGACGAGAACATTGTACATTGCACACAATCACTGGTCTACAAACACTGGAGCCTTTTTGCATATTTACTAGGATAAACTCATCTGGGACCAATGGCTTCTCCACTGGGTGGTTTTTATGCTCCCTGATGAGGGGGGGGATACAAGGCTGCTTCTATTTCAACATATTTGCAAAATGTGCACAAAGTTCTAGTCTCTCAAAAGCTTAACAGCGTTTCCCAACTTTTATCCAAAATCCTTTTCCAGTTCAAGAGCTGCTGCCTGGTGATGTGAGGGCTCTGAGTCTACATACAATTGGGAAAATGTTTTTCCCAGCTCCAGTTTTGGTGCTCATGGGAAAGTGGTGGCAGCTTTTGCAATTCAAAGGCTGGTGGAAATGAGGAGAAGCAATTGCAGTCTACCCGTACTCAGAATCATAGAATCATAGAATCAAAGAATCATTTAGGTTGGAAAAGACCTTTGAGATCATCAGGTCCAACTTTTAACCCTACTCTGCCATGTTGACCCCTAAACCACAGCCCCTCACCCTGTTCCCTGATGTGAACCGCGCAGTATCTGCCTCCATCTAGTGGTGCCGCTCGGCAACCTGCGCCGGCTTCACACCCCGCTTCTTGGTTTGGTCGGGCTTGAATCTTTGTTTGCTTGTACTAATGTTTGGGGAATTTTAAGGTAAAAATAATTTAATGCAGCTTTGCCGTTCCAGATAGTACAACAAGCAGCAAATTAACTCTGTCTTGGCGAAATGTTAACATTTCTGATGGGTCCTCTGATGACCATCCACACAGAAAGTATAAGCTTTACTCCTTTTTTAAAAATGTCATGGTTCCTACCCCAGAGAAGCTACTAATGAGACTTACTCAGCCATTCAGGTATCCTGAGTCTACTGCATCAAACACACAGTGACATTCTGAGGACAAAGTCAGTATATGTGTGACAGAGCTGTACACAAGAGGTGCACAGGCCCTGTAGGAAAACACTAGTTTTAATTCACACTACCCTATTGATTCTGCTTCATCTTCTGTCTAATGGTCTGAGAATTTTAATTGTACAATTTATCTGTAAATACAGATGTATGTACAGATTTAATTTGATTAGTATAAATTGAAATATTATCACAGGTTAGTTATTTTACTCTTCTGAATAAAAGTGCAGTGCTGTAGCTCTTTTTCATAATCTAGATTTCAAATGTTATAATTTTAAAAGGTTTTGAAACAGTTTGTGTATCTGAAAACATCAAAAGAAAAGATGAAGCTTGTTTCCTAAGCTATCAGAAACACTGCAGGAGTTCTTGTCTCTTCTCATCTGCCTTTGCTAAATATAGCAGAAGCAGCAGACTAGCTATTTCCAGTTTAACTACATATTTTACCATTTCAAGGTGAGCAGGGGAATTTATCAATTCTGTTTTTTTAGTGTTAAGTCACTGCTTTTTTTTCTTTCACTTTAATCTCTTCATATACCATCTCTCCTTCTTTTTAGATATTTTTAGGTATTCTCTGAATTACTGTGTCTGCATTGTCTCTTCATCTCCTTGGTGAATGTAACAGTATTTGGGTATCTTGGGATAATGCACATTCAAACACCACCTCAGTCCTTTCCTTCAGCCTATGACTTCTCCTACCTGATGAAGTAGAATCATCTTTAATCCAGAGCTGCTCCGCAAAATGTATGACACAATGTCCTTGGGGTTAGCTTCCCTTGGAACCCTGGAAACTGAAACATTTCTTTATGCACAGAAATTCAGCAATAAGGTTTTCTTGGGCACAGACACCTTAATTTATCTTTTCATTCATCCATTTCCCCAACAAAGAGCCTACCAAAAAGAATAAGAACAGGGGGGGAGGGGGGGAAAATAGACTGTGCATTAGGAACAAAGTGAGATGGTCATTTTGACATGTCAAGGCTGGATGCAGAGTACTACATAAAACATCTCAAGGTAAAGAAATACATCTTTGCTTCAAGTTGTCAGCTACAGGAAAATGGTCCTCCAACACATGAAGTTACCCTAAGTCCAGCTCTAAAGCTTATATAGCAGTTTTCAGCTCTTCATTTTCCATGTCCCCATGTCTGAGATCAAAGAAATAAAAAGTAGACATCATGCCATGCACAGAACCTGTCCCCAGGGCTTTGTTTTCTTTTGCAGTGAGGTATTTTTGCACAGTGTGAACAGTGACATTCAGTGGAGCTTGCCTGAACTCACCACATGAGAATCCAGTCCTGCTGCAATAATACTGGTAACTCACTTCACTTCCAAAAGGGCCATAATTCATTCTTAAGGAAATTTCTTTTCTTTTATACTCTTAGTACTTAAGGTTTACTTGTTTCAAATATTGTCTGAACAATATTGTCTTTCAAATATTGTCATGAACAAATTCATGGAGAAAAAAATCCGTTCAATAAGCAAGCACAAAACTAATACATTCTTCTATATGTTTCTTGCTGATGCATGTTTGTCCTATTAAGATATTCCTGTCTAAGTGGTCCTTATGGGAAACCAAACACTCTACTGCATAGATATTTTTTTCACTCAGTACATCTCTCCTTATGTTTATCTCTGGGGTTTTTTTGTTGTGTTTTTTTTTTCTTTCTTCTAGATACATCCTTAAATCCAACTGGCTTTTCCAAGCTTTGCAATCTGCCCAAGTGCTCACTTGTTATTTTTGACAATCCTATTTTCATCTGGCTGTTTAATGACTGTGTATCTCACTGCTTTCTGAATAATTCCCCATTTTCTTTCTCAGTCATATACAGCTCCATCCAAGGCACCCTCTCCTTCTCAGATGAATAATAAAAATACATATTTGCCTTTACTGGCTGCTATTCCCAGGAGAAACAAGGGCACTTCCCCTAGCGCCCTGCTGCCTGTGACACATTTGGATCTAGGGAAAACTCTGCCACCAGGTGGCTGAGCTCCCACCCCAGCTCTCTGCAGGAACTTGGCCTTGCACAAAGGCTCCTGAGGTTTCAGCTTTCAATTCTATAA